AGCGTAATGAAAAGTATACTATAATCTGCTCAGGAGTATGTAGAATAATTGTACCAAGTTTTGTTAAAATCCGTCGAGTAGTTTTTGTTTCTATAACGAACATACAGACAGACAAAAATTTTACTGATTGCATTTTTGGCATCAGTATCGATCACTAATCACGCCCTGATAGTTATTTTGGAAATATATTTCATGTACGGAATTGACCTCTCTACAGTTTTCTTATAAGTATAGATAGTTACAATGACTTGGCAATTGCATGGCAACATGTTTTATTAATAAATTAACTTTATTCTTAAATCAATCATTTACTTGGTAATCGAAATAGTAGATTTTGTATCAAATTCATATTTTAGCCATTTACAGTCCAGTATATATATTTCATGTACAGAATTAACCTCTCTACAGATTTATTATAAATATACATTATTCAAGTAATGGTGTGTATCTATTCATATCGTAATTGTTATTAGTATTATATTTACCAGAGGGAGACTTTGTACAAAAGTCGATCGCTTGGGTACCTCTGTTCCATTCGTGTTTCAATCGTGAAGCAGTTGTGTTTGCATGGCTGTGTTTCGGTTTGAAGGGTGGGATATGGCGTGAATTTACTGGGTACAGAGGAATAACATCAGAGTCCTCAGGAATGACAACGCATGGGGGGGGGGGGGGGGTATCATGGGCGAAACAGTGTACTCTGTTATGTCCATGCTACTGCTCATGTCTATAGGCGACGGCCATGCAAACACAACTGCTTGACGGTAGAAACACAAATGAGACAGATGTACTTAAGCAAACGACTTTTGTACAGTCTCTCTCTGGTAAAAAATTTCACGTAGATGGAGTTCACGTTTTTTGTCGAATTCATCTTTTCGATTCATTTGTCGAATCTTGTCGTCCCATTTAAACTAATTAATGGGTGTGTGGTCCCGGCATAGAATAAGCCATCCCTTCCTTTCCCGTGGGTGTCGTAAGAGGCGACTAAAAGAGGGCTAGGTGATGGGTAGCAGCGTCTCTCTTAAAACATCCCCAAAACCTAACTGCGGTTGCCAATCCGCCTGTCAAGCGTGGCAACTACTGGCAAAACCCCCCAAGGGAAGGCTTATGTTCAGCAGCAAATAGTTGAAAGCTGACATGATGACGATAAATTAATAGGTGCATATATATTATACAATAAGCGAAAAAGGTTTGTTTGAATCTAAGCATTTGGCGTTCCATTGTTTCTGCCTACCCTAATGGGAGGCAGGCGTGACAGATATGTATGTATGTATATACCAATCACTGTTGCGTTTCTCGCGAGCTCTTCCCAACAGATAACAACTTTCCGAACCCTGCAGTAGAATTAAAACAATGACGATTTAAAAGTGCTTGTAAAAAAGTCTATTTGAATAAAAAAAACAAACATTACTCTCCCTTCTTCCACAGTCGGGTAACAACAGCGACTCTAAACAATCCCCAGCCGAAGCCTATCATGAAGTGGCACACAGCCTATATTCAAATCCCTGAGGATCGGCTGATCCCTTCATAACAACGATAAGTCAGCGTGTCAGCCCAGCCTGTTATATGTATATGTTTATTTCACATACTTGCAAGAAAAGCTATTTCGTGACAGATTCTACTTTTATTTTTTACCCGACTGAGACGGTAAGAAGTATAATGTTTTGCGGGTATACAGTGTGATATTAAAATCATTAGCACCTGTTTAAAGTAGTGTTCTTTATCAGTGAATCTAAACATTTTCACCAATTTTCATCATCGTCAAACTGTTCACAGTTAAACATAGACCTTCCCATAAGGGTTTTTTTTTAATGGATGATAATGGAATGGTAGCCCCGCCTGCGCTAACGGTATACGCTGGCGGGGCACTAGTGAGGGATGATAGGTGAGTATGAAAAGACAGGTCAGTTAGCCCATCGTGACGAATACACCTGGAATTCAGCACGATAGTTTCTAAGGAGGGACCACGTGGAGATCGATCTGACAGGGTATATTGCTAGCAATGGGCCTGATAGTCCGCATTACTAACAATCTCTTCCCCTCCCATAAGGAGGGTTTGTCAGTAGTTTCCACACTTGGCAACCGCAGTTAGGATTTGGTGATGTTTTAAGAGAGACGCTGCCGCCCACCCCACAATTAAGCTCTCTTTCATGTCTAAGCTAAATAACGTGAAATTTACGTTTAAGCAAACGTGCTGTATATAATTTTCGAAACAAAAATAAAAAAAATGCTGCACCTCAATTTCTCGCCTGAGGGGTGGAAATTACAAAATCTTTAAAATACACACTTCTCAGTCCAGTCAATAACCACAAATAATAAATTTCAAGCAGAACAAAAAAGAGAGAAAAAGATAAATAAAATAGTTTGACTACTTTTTTTTTTTTTAATTTTTATATTAACGGAATTTTATTAGGATAATTAGGATAGAAATGCTTTTTTTTTTAGTTGAATTTCCAAAAACGACGAAAAATGTATGTGTTTATTTTTAAGCTGAGAGAAGCTTTATTTAATTTTAAATTTCATTATTCTTACTTTAAAAATAACCCTTCCATATAAAATTTCAACCCCTATTTCGCCCTCTTAGGGGATAGATTTTGAAAAAAACACTGAAATAAGTATTTATTTCCAACCTAAAACTTGCATATCAAAAATTTCACGACTGTAACTTTGAAAATGACGGATTTCCATACAACCATTCATCCCTTTATGGGTGAAATATCCAAAAGTACTTTCTTAGTGGATGTTTACTACATAGAATGAATCGACTACTAAAATATCAAGTTTTTAATCAGAGAGGACAAATAATTTTATATATATATATATATATATATATATATATATATATATATATATATATATATATATATGTTGTAAAAAGCAGGATGCAATAATAAAACATATATGTATTTGAGATATAAAATATACAAGTTTAGTGAAAAAAAAATACGAGACATGTCTTATAAAAATCTGACACAGATCCTTTGTTTACGATGTTTACCATTACCGGACCGTCAGTTGGGTAATTGAAATTGACAAAATGTTTAGTGACTATTAAAATAGGTGTGTTCGATGAGCTTTTATTCCAAAATAGTGACAGACAGAGCCCAAGTTCTACATTTCTGAAATATCTCCTTTGTTTACGGTATTTAACATATAGTCAGAGAGTCAGTCGGACAATTTAAATTCACAAAATACCTAGTAAGCAGTAAAATAGGCAGAGTCAATTATTTTTAAATTTATCACATACTAAATGCGAATAGGGTAAACGTCCTTTTTTCCGACATGGCGAGAGCTATTTTTAACAATTGTAAATAATATTATAATTTATTATATTATATATTAAGGAAATATTACATATATATATTTAATGTAAATTATCAATTTACTTTTGGCCCAACGATGGTCGTGCTTCATTACATTTCAAATAATATACAGAACTTCATACATAATTGCATCAAAACTGTATTGTTGACAAGACTGTTTGTTTCTTGTAAATAAATAAATTGAAAGCAAATTAAATTAGGCACTAGTTAAATATAGTAAACAAGAATATAAGTTAAACATATTTAACGATAATGTTATTTTTATTACTTTATCTAGTATATAATCATACATATTTATGGCGACCATACTAAGTGGACCTGTTTTGATTGCGTTACTTTAAAATATTAGTATATATTAGTAATTACTAACAATAGTTTAATATATATATATATATATATATATATATATATATATATATATATATATATATATATATATATATATATATATATATATATATATATATATATATATATATATCGGATATCAGCTATCTCTAGTTGTTAGCCAAAGGAACAAACCGCTATCTCTACATATAAATAAAAATAAATTACTAAATGTATTGCTAAGCACAAAACACGAGAACGGCCGAAGCAACTCGGCTCGACTGATGGTAAGTGAATACCGCTGCCTATGATCACCCGCAACACCTAAGGCAATTTTATTATTTCAAAAATCCTTAATCGAATGGCTTATATATATATATATATATATATATATATATATATATATATATATATATATATATATATATATATATATATATAAAATAATTTAGGTATTATTATGACAAATATGTTTGCATTTAATACGCCGTATTTATAGAGGGGATAGACATTCATTTTGTTATCTACTACTTGTTTTCAAGGGATTTTTATAGAGATATGAATATATCTCTACGTGTTATGCACGAATATTAATATGACGTCATGTTTTTAAAAATAAAACAACCGCACTCAAGTGGTAGATATAAATATACAATTAAGTCAATTAAGTACAAACTTATTTTGACAGTATCACACAACGGCTAGATGGGAAAAACATATTTTTTTTTATAGTTGCAAAATAATATTTCTTTATCTGTGGTTGCACATAGGAAATGGCGGAGGTTTTAATCGTTTACAAAATTAAAAAGAAAAACTCACTGTTGAAGCGGAACGTATCGACCTCCACGGAGGTCGGACACCTCATGACGGTGTGACTACACCTCTATACACGGTCGTTACCAAAGAATTATCTTAAAGTATTCTTATTTATATATTAAATCACGTGCCTGAAATATTATCAAAACATATATTTTCCTTTAAATCTTAAGCATTATTCGCGGAATATATTTTTATTTAATTTTTTTCGACCATTATTTTTTTTTGTAGAAATCCCGGAATAGTTTATTTTTATATAATTTGTCTGCTATGTGTAAAGTAATAAATATTGCGTATTTAAATCTTGAGATGTCTCTTAAAAACATTGAAAAAAAAAAAAGAAAAAATAACAAACATCCTGAACCGAAAATGAAAAGATATAAAATTATATAAGTTATCAACATATTTTTAAATAAACTCAATCTGTGTACATCAGAAAATAAATGACATAACATATAAAAATTAAATTGAGGTCAATAGTTAAACATTATATTGTTTATCTCTACTTAGTGTAAAAAAAAAAACAAAAATACCAACCCATAATGTTGTCCTGATCAACGACAGGAATATAAAAAAAAAATTTCGTTAACACTATACAGCAGCGTACTAAATTATAAACTCACAAATCCGTCATGTTATCACAAAACTGCTTATTTATTGTTTCGTCAAACAAAAGATATCAAGTCTGTTTCACAAATTAGTAATGGCCACGACAATAGAATCGGGTTACGAGACATCCGAGAATCAACAAATACGAAATTATGAAATTATACTTTTTAATTTATACTGTCCAAAAAGAGTATTAAGAACAAAATACAATGCAAGACGATTAAAAAGTATGTGTATACTGAACTGAGACTGCGCTAATTATATTAAATAATTTAAAAGTTTAAATATGGAACGTAGAGCGTTCAATTTTCCGCTCTCCTGCAACGTTACGAGCACTCTCTATAGATTCTCTTTTCAAATAACAACTCGACTAGTAGCGAGCGAGACACTAACTTGACTAGTCCACGCCCGCCAATGAGACGTATCGCTGCGTAAACGATAATTTAATAGCAATATTATTAATTAAATGCTCAATTTGTGTGGGTTCGGAATGGTCGTTGGAGGATGTTAATATAGCAAGATTTACGTTACATTGATTTATCGCACAAAACAAATAGACTCGTTCGAAAACGATAAGATTCGGAAACGGTGTGCGGGCGGGCGCGGTCGGGCCGAGTCGAGTGCTCGGGTACGCGGGGCTGTGCACGTCGACGGCTGCGCGACATACCACTGACCGAATGAGTCAGCCGCTTGCGGAATATTGCGGATAATATAATATATCAGAGCGTTCAAAATTTTAATAAAATTAATTTCAAACAATTGAGAGGGAAATAATAATTATTATAAAATAAGTGCCATACGATCACACCGATCGCTTGGACCTCTATTTTATATATACTTAAAGTCTATGTTTGATAGAAAAAAAAGAGGAGCAAGACAACGAACATTTAGAGGCACAATTTAAATATACTAACATTAGTTTTAAGAAAAGTTTTAAGAAAAGTTCGAAAAAAAATTATTTTTGTTATAACATGTAGACCAGAGCCAACTAAAAAAAGTTAAATAAGTAATAAGTTAAATAATTAGAAGAATCGAAATAGTACTCAGTAATATTATAAAAAAAAAATCAATAAATTGTAAATTATCGTCAATTTCATATATTAAGCGAATATTGTTTGTAAGTATTTACCTGTACAATATACATACCTATCTAAGAACCTGAAGTCTGAATCATTTTAGAAAACTGACAAAGTATTTATTAAACATTACACATACTGTGGAAATAAACATGAATAATTGTAAAATAATATTAAATAATAACATCTTTAACTTTATGCAAATTAAAAGGAATCATCTCGTCCTTATGAACACAAACTATTATTTTATTTCCTTAGCTCGTAGTCTGTAATTAAAAAAATAAAATAAAAAAAACGTTAGTACCAGTAAATGTCAACTGAAAGAGTGAATATTAAACCAACCCGGTAAACGTTTTGTCCCTTACCGTAATTACCTACTGGATCCATTCTTCTTTATTGGAATAAAAACTATCTATGTTAGCCAGAAAAGACAATGGTAGCCGAGACCTAGGGACTGTTATCCCCGGTGATGAGTTCGGAACAAAGGGGCTAGTCCCGTACCTGATGAACCCTTCTCGGAAAGCTAAGAAAACCCGTAGCGTATAGCATAAACTACTTTAAAGTTAAAACTAACTAAACATTAAGAATGGAAATATTTGAATTGACAGCTAGGTACAGTATGGCGAAAAAATGGAATCTTAACCTTTTTCTGAGATATTTTTGCAATTTTTTACATCATAAGAATCTTCCTTGGACTTTAACGAATATTCGTTAAAAAAAGAGTTAAATTGGCCCAGCCAAAGTAATAAATATTAAGTATTTGAAGGCAGTGTAAGACGACCCCACACTAGATGGAGTGATGACCTCAAATGCATTGCAGGGAGTTAGTGGATGCAGGTGGCTCAGGACCGTTCTTTATGGCAGTCTATGGGGGAGGCTTATGTCCAGCAGTGGACGGATAATGGCTGGAATGATGACGATGACGATGATTTGAAGCTCCAGACGTTTCTTGAGAACATTGAAAAAACAAAATGAAAGAAAATAGAAAACGAAAAGATATAAAATTAACTAGTTAACCTTAGATTATATTAGATAGAGTGTCTGCATACAAATGCTTCGAGAAAAACGGGTCAACTTTTTCATACAATTTTGCATGACAAATAGTTGCTTTATAACTTCTATATTTATTTTGTCTTATAATTTTTGCATCTTTTTAATGAATAAAAACTAATTTTATTTATTAAATATTTAAATATAGATACGTCAAGATGGATTGTGTGCGTAAGTATAAAGAATACTGATAAAAAAAAAAACGAGTCAGCTATTTTGACATATAGCAAGCAAGCTGACCCTGTAAAATTCCAGACAAATTATCTTTTTGAAGACTAGGCAGCATGGTCTCCGACCTTAGCCTGTTCCAAACGGAACAAACGTACTAAAAAAAAAAAAAAAAAGCAAGCTGACCCGTTTTTGAGTCTCGATGCTCTATGTAATCCAAGTAAATAACATATTTTTAAATAAAATAAATTTTAGTGCGTTTTCAAATTTGAAATTTAGCAATTCATTTTCATATATTACATAGATATAGATAAGTGCTTTATATTATTCCCAAAATCGTGTATAATATAGTATATATCATATATGTGTAAGTATATTTGTTATTGATATATATTTATTCGTTTATATATGTAATTTTAGTATGTATGTATATCAATAATTACTAGTACCGCATTCGTGTATTCTGACACTTCCCTATGGTTGACTGGGAGAGAGTGCTTTTAGCATTAAGTCCGCCATGTACACATATTTGTACTAATGAATAAATAAATAAATAAATAAATAAATATCTAAATATTATATAATTTAGAAGGTAAAATAAAAAGGTTAAATAATAAAAAAAAAATATCAACTATCAACTAACATATACGGCGGTAGGTTAACTTTACAATAATATACATATGTTTGTCTGTTAAATGCATTCGATATAGACTCGATGTACGTCCAAAGGTTATTCGGCTATTTACATATATGTATAATATTAATATCTTTTGTTCTAAACCCACTAAATGGAATATATTTTAGATGCGTGTCGACTTTTTCTTTTTCGATATATAAAAAAGAGAGAAAGCATTTTTGAATTGATATATAGATGGAGACTCTTCATTGTTTTCTCCACAGAACTACAATAGTAAACGTATTATAATAAAGAATTACAAGAAAAAAATTACACTTAAGAAAACAATGGGCGACCTTATCTCTAAGTAATAAGATAAAATAAAATAAAATAGTAATTTTCCCCATTTTTTTTTTCATTATCGCCCATTCGGAACTCACAAACACTACAAATGGGAAGATATATTTGTTTCATTATTTCGGTATTTAGAATATTCAATTTGATTTAAAATTGTAGAGAGGCGATGTCTAAGAATAGCCATAACGGACGTGACGTCAGCTCAAATACTGCAACGGTGCCACAAGTAATAACCAGCGTGGTATATAACAATAATTTAATTCCTATGAAATTTATTTCACATATTGAAATTAGAAAAAAAAAATCGTGCAAGTTGTACGACACTTGTATAATTATTATTCTCTAGAGTCCAGTTTTAAATTCAATTTAAATCCAGATTTTAATTATAGAGTCATGTTATATGCACGTGTGCATTTATAATAGAAGACAGACTTTTATGTCAATAAACACGCTAAGAAGTAAAAAGAAATCTCTCTTATTATGTTAAATTTTTTTTTTTATTAGTAAAATAAAATAATGAAAACGATTCATAATTACCATAAATACGAAAATAGAATGTCGAAAGAATTTTTAACTTTTTTCAAGTCGGTAAAAAAAAATGTGTGTACACTATATTTGTACATGTGTTAGGAGTCTTATTTAATTTTTTAAATATTTAATTTCCCACGTTTGAATGTGTGCGTGAAAAAAAAAACAGTGAGTGCCACAAAAAAAAACCTTTAAATGTTTAAACTTCGAACAACACCAGTTACTTTGATTTAAAAATTAAATTAGTAAACTGATATTGATAAAATTTATATGGGACTAGGATCAGATAAAAAAAAAAAAAAAGAATTTTACAAATTGGTTTACAATTGCCAGAGGAACAAACATTAAAAACAAATATAACCGAATTGAAAACATTCTTCTGTTGAAAAATATCAATAATTAAAAAAAAAAAGAAAAAGATATGATCAATTTAAAAATCGAACAAAAAAATGCTCCAAGGTCCCTCTATTTACCATTTGAATATCCTAGCAATGAGTGGAACGCATGTAGTGCTCGGGTATTGTTCCTTTGTGTGCGTTAACTAGCACATTTACTCTACTACAATGTTCTTTTTTATATATGACAAAGGAATGTTAACCCTGCATGCGTTATCGGTATACGCTGACGGGGCATCAGTGAAGGATGAAAGGTGAGGATGGAGGCAGATCAGTTAAGTGATCACGATGTATTCATCAAGATATAACCATGGTGGTTTCCAGGGGAAACCACGTGGAGGTCGACTTGGAAAGGAATATCGCTAGCAATTAGTACTACAAAAAAAAACCTTATTAGGTCGATTTCCATGAGGTCCCAACTTCATTCTCGCGGGTCATCTCTCACTGGTATGTGTGCCATATTTTGTCTCATATAATAAGTAATAAAAAAAATTCCAGTGCAGCATGTATACATACTATGGACAAATTTTATAATGTGACGCCCGTACTGCATGCGGCACCGTTCCATTAGCTATTTCATAAAAACAGTGAATTTTGAACCTGAGCGAAAGTAACATCCATGCTTATTACTAATAAATTAGTACATTACTTAATAATATAATATTAAGTAAGTACGGATATTAATTTACTCACAAAATAACCAGACTAATTTTGTTTCGTCGAATATTAAAAAGATATCAGCTAACTCGTACCGCGTACCATTAATTTCACCAAAATCGTAACATCGCTATATGCAATATACAATACGCGCATTGTAATGCAACTAAATAATAAAAGTCTAGTCGGACGCGCAATGGAGAGAAATATCATTTGTTTGCGATTCTCGTATGAATAGCCGGTCTTCGGTGAGTCACGAAGCGCGCATTCCCTGTCGCTGCGTTGCACCCATTGCACCGTTGGTGGTTTGTTTGAAATAGTTCGTCATAGTGAAGCAGTAATGAATTGCGTTTTAATCAATTTTCAAGTTATGAGGTTGACGCGTCTGGAATCTACGTAGCGATCATAGTATAGGTATACGTGTACTAAGAGTAGCATTTTAACGCTACAGATTACAAAAACTATATGTGATGAATGAAGTGTTAGGTTCCTCGTCGAATATTTTTTTTTATTTTTTTTTATTTTATTTTTAATAAATGAAATTTCCTAATGAATCAATATAAATAATATTTTCTATAATAATAAACTAATATTAAAAATTCTTTCATCTATAAAGAGCTACATTATTAGTGAGTAAAGGATACTATCCCAGGATCCTGAATGACAAAGGCAAAGCTCCGTTACATGTACAGCTATAATAATTATGTACAAAATTTATTTTATAAATTAAAACAAATAATTAAAAATATTTTTCGAATGACCATAAAATTACGTCACCAACCTTCTACAAAAAACTACTTCTATATTCCGAGTTA